CACACACACACACACACACACACACACACACACACACACACACACACGCCGAAAAGGGGAGGGTGGGAAGGCATCAGCCTAGGGTCATAGTATTGAAGTCAGGAAAGTCAAAGCAGAGCTGGGAGGAGAAAAAAGTTTGGCTTGCCTGGCCCCTATCCAAAATGGAGGCCCTGTAAGAGAAACAGGCCAGGCAGGACAAAGGGATATTCCAGGGTGAGGAACCCTACCCCTCCTTCCACCCCCAGAATCCCCCCTCCTACCTCAATGAGGGAAGTTCCCAGGTGAGGCTACCACTGAAGCTTGGTGTTGAATTCTGGAAAGTCAAAAGCAGAGCCTGGAGGGACCTTGGAGATGGAAGTAGGAACATTGACTCTGTAGTGAAATTTGTTATAATACTTAGAGGAAATTCTGTGTGATTTAGGCACTAGATTAATATTTTAATAAGTTGATTGTTTCACCTTCTGAGAGAAAGCTAAAACTAAGGGAGAAATATGGATGAAGGAAAGAAGGAATATTGATCATATGGTATGAAAGATATCTTTCTCTCCCCACCCCTACCCTGTTCTTCTTCATTGGAGCACCTGCTTGGATGGGTTCCAGCCTCGTTGCTCAGAGATAATCTCCCTGAATCTACCTGGGGAGGTTTACTCTTTAAAGATAACAAGCTACATTGCTATGTTGGGTGGTGGCGGGGGTTGTGCCTATCTTACTCAAGAAGCCAAAGGGAAGGATTTGGGAAGGTTGTGAATGTGGAAAGCATGCTCAGGGGGTCCATGAACACACATTCTATTTCAGGATCATGAAGGCTTTGCCAGGCAGGGAACATAAGAAAGTCAGAGGGCATTGACAAGGGTATGGGGGACCGAAGGCAGGAGTGGGGAGGGGAGGGAGAGGAAATGACTAAAAAGATTTGCTTTAAAGTTACATGAAAATGAAAGCATAGGCACAATATGAAAATCTCTGCTTCCTGAGTTACCACCGCTTTTCTGTGGTGAGTGAAGCCCACCTTATATCAGGTCCCTCATCATGTAAATGGTCCAGGATTGAAACCTTATTATTAAATCATTGTGTCAGTAATAAAATGATCACCCAGTGCCAATCTTGGTACCAGCAAGCAGGGCATTGCTTCAAAAATAGGCAGAAACCCTCTGAGAGAAATACAGAAATATCCTTCCCTGGCCTTGCTTTTTACAAGCCAGTCAGAGCAATACAACAAACCATACAGTGTATGGGGTGGGCAGGCGTTGAGATTTTGTCTGGGGATCTTCAATGACTCCAGGAACATCCTGAAATGATTCAGGCTGAAGAAAACAAGGCACAACTTTCCAGAAACTACAAAGATATTGCAATCCCACAAGAACTGTCCAGCAGAATCCTAAAGCACTTCAAGGGGCAGCAGCCCCATTTAACAGATGAAAAAAGCAAGGCCCAAAGAGATGGAGAGCCTTGGCCCTGACCTAAAAATGCATAGACTCCATCAGTCCCTGGTGCTCAAAAGCTTTTTCTTTACATATTAGTCTTGTATTCCCTATTTGCCATTCCTCCCCACTAAGAAAGTATTGAAAGTAGTCTATATGACTGGCATGTCAAAATCCTCATCTTAGTGCCCTGATGCACAAAGTCCAGAATGGAATCCACAAGGGAAGAGCTACAAGTCCTTGAGTCTTTAGGAATAGACAGCAAGGTGTAAACCTGACATTGTATGTGACTATGGGCAAAGTGGAATGCAACACAGAAGAGATGCCCTTCCAAATTCCCTACTCATAGAACATTTGTTTACACTTGGACCGGGATCCATTTGGGAGAGGGGTGGAAGGGTCTGGGGGATGGGTAGAAGTTAATGAAATAGTTACGATGTAATGCAAAGAGCACTGTGCTGGCAATGAACAGACACCTGAACTCAGATCCTTCCTCCAGTACTTCATAGCAGTGTGGCCAAAGGCAAGTAAATCAACCTCACTTAGGCTATTTCTTCATCTGTAAAAACATGAGTAATCATACTTGTAGCTCCTCACAAGTCATTGTGAGGATCAAATCAGGTAATGTGCTTTTAAAACCTTTAAGTTCTACGTAATTGCCAGTTATAATCATGACCCAATAATGTCCCAGTCTCATACTGGAATATAATAATTGGCAACAATAATAATAATAGACTATACAAAGTATTATAAATTTTCTCAAGTACTTTTACATAGAGCATCTCATTTGACCCTCACAATAGTTCTGTAAGGTAGATACTATGCTATTATTATTCCTATAATATAGAGAAGGAAAATAAGGCTAAGTGATTTGGCCAAGCCCACACGGCTAGTTTGTGTCCTTACCTAGGCAGAATTTGAACCCAGGACTACATAATTCTGAGTCCAACACTTTAACCCAAGAGTGCTCAGGGTAGCCTTTAGCTGCCATTTTGGTCTAAGTGATTGTTGAGATGCCCCAATACATCCCAAGGTGGAGAATGAAATACTGAATCATTGTGTGCCCTATTGGATGAAGAAGAAATGGGAATTTCCTCCACCCCAAAATGGAGGCAGTAGCTTCAGAACAGTCTGGTACTATTGTTCCTCAGAATCTTAACCCTTGGATGAAGACAAGCTGTGGACATCCAGCCAGAGACAGGGTAACATATTGTGAAAACCATCCCAGACTAGCTCTAGAAATGTGGGCCTCCACTGCAGACAGACAGATATCCGACAACCCAAAAGCAAGACCAAAATCTACTGCTGACAGCTTCCTCTTTTCTGCAGTATTTTACCTTTTGGATGAATTAAGATTTCCAGAAAACAAATGGATTAGTGATCTTGAAAGCAGTGTTTCCATGGAAATTATCTGATGGATATAAAGGCAGACCTACTAAACCTTTTTATATTTTTCAGACTCATTCATTTAGTGAGCATTTTTTGTAAAGCCATTCTATGGGCAGGCACTGTGCCAGACAACAGAGAAGAGACAAGGATAAATAGGATAAGGCATGGTCCCTGCCCTCAGGGAGCTCAAAAGCCAGGAGGGGAAGATAAAACAACACAGTAACCGGAAGGAAAGCCACCTCAAGTGTTCTGAAAGGGGGAGTTTACTATCTGGTGAGGGAGGGGAAGCTTTCTGGAAAAGAGGTCCTTGGAGCTGACCTTGAAGGACGGGGTAATTTTCATTTTGTCTTAGTATCTTGAACACCTAGCACACACATGTTGAATAAATGCTAGCTGGGTTGGAGTGGAGGGGATTGGGTAGGACTTCCATACGCAGAGTTAGGGGAGATGAAGGAGGAAAAAACCAAACCCATAACCACAAAAACATATGGTCAATTCCTCTTTGCCACTCTCTCTCCCATAGTGACAGAGCATTTTGTAACCAGGATGTAGCTTTAAAATACTCACTGAAATGAAAGTGACCATACAAGGTATAGTATTCAAGCAGGCTTAGTTAAAGTACTGTGCAAAGCTATGGAAAAGAGGTTAGCTCTGGCTCCAGAATGTGTCCCCCTCAAACAACATTTCACTGTGAAATGTAATCATGTCCTGGATAACATAAAACCACCTTATGTAGAGAAACAGCATCAGGTTTGGAGTCAGAGGCCCTGGGTTTGAATGCCAGGTCTATTCCTTAACACCATTGTGACTCTGGACAGGTCATTACCCTTTTGGAACCTCAGTTTCCTCATCTGTGATATGGGAGGAGAGAGGCTTGTACTAGAGGATTTGTAAGCTCTCTACCAGCTCTATAGCCTGTTATCCAGTCTCTGTATAAGGAACAGCCCAGGATGGGGACGAGAGCAGGGAGTCACAAGACCCAAGTCCTTGACTCACCTTCTTTCACTAACTCACCGGGTGACCTTGAGCAAGTCACCTCTAGGGGCCTCAATCTCCTTATCTGTAAAATGAAAGTATTGGGACTGTGCAGCCTCTAACATTTTGTGATTGTCTGAAGATCTGGCACTTTATGTCTTCCACAATCGAATAGCAGTCCAAGGGAAACTGTGCTTTATGTGTGTATATCTGTGTTTTATGTCTGTCATGTGAATACAGAAACATCTCAGGTAGAGAAGAGGAATCTGGAGACCTGGCTTTTACAGAGGGCGCCATATTGTAGTGGTGACCAAAGGGAAGTGTTCTATCACACACAAGTTCCTATCACACACACAGATCTCAAAGCTGTGAATTCTTGTCTCTAGCAACGAGGAGGTCCCGGTTCTAGGCATCAGGGACGTGGTTACTGGTGCTGCTGCTGCTGCTGGTATTGCTGGTGCTATCAGTGGTGTTATTGCTGCTGCTGCTGCTTTTCATGGTGGTGGTGTTACCCTGCTGGTGTTGTTGGTGTGTAACAACTTGCAGAACATTCACCTCCCCTCTTCCATCAGTCTAAGCAAGTCTGAACGGTGTTAACTGCATGTGGTCTTCTTTTAACTGTAACGGAAGGCTTTTGACACTGTGACTCTTTAGAAATCACACACACACACACACACACACACACCCAAGAGAAAAGGGGGCGCTGGGAGCGCTCTCCCTCATCACTCACCAGCTGTCTCTCCTCTGGTGAGTGACTCGGCACCCTTTCTAAGCCTGTTGCTGTTTGAGGTTCTCTCTGCCCTCCCTGTGCTCAAGTTTGATTTAGTCTAAATGAAGCTTCTCAGTCCCTTTCTACCGGACCATCGTGTTTTCTTCATCCAATGTTCCTTCTTTTCCACAGCACCACTTCGATCTGCACTGAGATAAGCAGGCTTTCCAATTTAGGTGCTTTACATTTGAGTACCCACCTCTTTAGGCTTTTCAAAGCCATTCTCATGTAACAGAAAAAAACAGTGTAGTTAGAGTTTTATGATTTGTAAACTGCTTTTTCCTCAAAAAAAAAAGAAAAATATGAGATAGGTTGTGCAGATATTATCCTCATTTTAAAGATAAGGAAACTGAGGCCAGAGGAATGAAAGGACTTCGCCCTGGTCACTCAGCTAGCAAGCATCAGAGAAAGCCAAAATAGACATACTATCCCCTTCATTCAAAACCTGAGATATGGGGGCAGTTTATTAATCTGGCCCAATGTGTGAATTCATACAATTCATACTGCCCCAGAAAAGCTTGAATTTCTACAGTATTAGGATCTAGGTACTGAGACCCATCTGTCTCCTCATCAAATAAGATGGAAGAACTTGGCAGAAATGGTTCTATCAAAGAAGCAGCAGCAGATCTGTAAAGTATTGCTCTGAGTTTTAGGACTGGAGCCTGGGAAATGAATGTATTTATCACAAATTATCCCACCTAGCATATACAGTGTGAACTATGCACAGGGCCAGAGGCTTAATTACCTTGTTTTCATGTACTCGGTATATTAATAAATTCATATTGAATGAACGCCTTAAGTGAATGAAAGAAAGGATGGCTGGATGAGTGGGTGGGTAGATGGATGGATGGATGGATGGATGGATGGATGGATGGATGGATGGAT